GCGATGGCCTCCAACCTAATAGCGATGGCCTCCAACCTAATAGCCGCGATGGCCTCCAACCTAATAGCGATGGCCTCCAACCTACTAATAGCGATGGCCTCCAAAACCCACCTACGAACACAATTGGCCTGCCTTGTACGTCGTTAGTACTTGCAAAGCAGGTACAGAGTACTTGCTTTGGGGTTTGGGCCTGGGCAGGAGTTTGTCGAATTGGCCCTGGAGTTGGGCATTGCTCCTTTGGAGGACGAATACTTTTGAGGGTGGAAGGAATTTGGTGCCATGACCCCGTGAAAAGCAACACTTCACGCGGAGGATGATGCGATTCAAGCAGAGATGGAGCAAGCTGAGCACAAGGTAGGAGTGTAGACACAAGCTGATGCTTGCTGCTTGCTGAACTTCTCCTTGCCAGTAGTATCTAGTATTATATAATTAGATGAAGCAAGGCCAAGTCTGTAATCTTTACTAGTAGCGATGCCCTTCCTAGTGCAGGAGCGCCCCTAGTAGCGTCCTTCCTCCTAGTAGCGATGCCCTTGGCTCCTAGTAGCATCCTTGTTCCTGGGCTGAGAAGCGTCACTTGAAGTCTGAGAAGCGTCACAAGTTTGAACTGGCTGGTGGAGCCCAGGCAGATCTAGAAGCGGCTCGTGGACGAGTCCGTGCCACAGCCGAATTTGTGGACATGTCTTGTGGCGCGCGACAGCCGATGCGGAAGCCACCCGATATGGCAGGCCGCTGGGCCTCCATTGAAGAACCAAAACTCATTTGAGCGACAAAGGTGCCCGGCGACGAATCACTGAAGACATAGAGTCAAAGCGACGCTCAGTATATAATTAATGCATTTATTGTTTATTGTATTGCATGTGTTTTTCCGTCTGCTATCCTTAGAGTTTATTACCAGTAGCGATGCCCGTTGCTGTTTTTTGAGAATGCTTCTTGTTTAGACCTGTCTTTCTTTTCATTCCTGTTTTGTTTGCTTGGCATGGCGCGGCATGTCTCCCAAGCGCCAAGTCGTTCCCGTCGACAGGACTTCGGATCCTTTTGCTGCAGACGCTCAAGGGCTGCTCCTTGGGCAGACCCTTCTGGGCTCAAGCGTTGGGCTCAAGCATGTTGAAATGTGTTCACGAAAAGGGGACTCAAAGAGGTGAAACACATTTCAACATCAGATTCGTTGGAACGCAGATGACTGCAGGCCACGGCAGGTGCATGCTGTGCCACCGCGGTCCAGCCAGGACCTCGGGATGTCGACATTTGCTCATTGTGCCTTCAAGTGTTTCTTACTGTTATTGTCTCACCAAGCCACGCTCAGTCTTGTCAACAGGACAATCATGGGACACCACCCTAGTCATGAGTGAAGCGACACCCTCGCCTTAGAGCACTCCAGCTGTGCTGAAGTGTTTTTGCACACAAGTGTTGTGTTTCATGGCTGTGTCGGTGGACATGTTAGACATGTGAAGCCTAGCTGTACATAGCTTTTCCGGGTCTGGAGGACCCTTATGTTTAACAGTGAGCTTAGCAATGGCCGGCATTGGCGGAAGTCCTTCAGGCCGTTTGCCAGACCATCTCACTTTCCTGAATTGCTAACGCAGATGCCGGCGCAAGGGCACCTTTGCCTTAGACTTTGACTCATCCATATCCACAAACGCGGGCCTTTCACACATCTAAGATTACATGTTTGATCAACAAGGCAATTTGAACGCATGTTTTGTAACATTGAGTGAGCGCTTCTTTTTTGGGCCCGCTTTCAGGCCATGAAGAAGCCTCAAACCTGGAATATAGTTCTCAGTATTTTGATGACATGATGACATTCTCCAGAGTCCAATGAACTCCGTTTCAGGTGGGCGTACCGAAAGCTAGCTATCGTAGCAATTACGTTGTTTCTTCGATATCGTAGCAATAAGCTGTGCTTTGTTGCGTTTATCTTTGTAGAGATTATCTCCATGGCATGGGCTCTGGCGGACGCCATCGCAGCAACCGCACAGCAAGTTAAGAGCTGAGAGGCTACACGGTTGCGGACGTTTTGGGATTTTTGCTTTGCTCTCTGCCTCTGTCGGCACAATGCAAAGGCCGAAAGAGGAAGAAGCACCGTGCAACCAGCCGCATGCCTGAGCGTTGCAAAACCCCAGAGGTCTTTGTTACTGTATAGTAGCGTCCTTGTTCCTAGTAGTAAGGCCAGGAGCCCCAAGTAGCGTCCTTGCTCCTAGTAGCGATGCCCTTGGCTCCTGGTAGCTTCTTGTCTTTGTTAGCACTGATGAGGTGGGAAAGGCTCAAGAGCTCGGAAAGATCGCAAGAGGCAGGATTAGGATGCAAACCCGTGTCGTGTCGAATTTGCTGTCGTGACTTTTTCCAGTGCAGGCGTCGCTTAGCGCAAACTTCAGAAAGTGCAACGCTGAGTTGAAGAATCACAGCAGGAAACCACCTTCACCTTCACGACTTCTGTTACAACCGACGGTCGGCACTTCATTTTCTTCCTCTCAAATTAGCATGGGCGATGCTGAGACCTGGTTTTGTACCAAATATTCCGACTTTCATTATATCCTGTTGTTCCGTCACACATCTCAAAACACGGCAATATGTGGTGTTTGGAAAGCAAGTAGTAACAAGTGCATCGCTACTAGGAACAAGTGCATCGCTACTAGTAACAAGTGCCTTACTAGTAGTAACAAGAAGTTTCTATTTTTAAAAGGGGTCGTTCAGTCCAACCATCGGCACGGAGAAGCATTCTTGCTTTCTGCACATGACATGAGATGGTTCCTTGGTGGTCTCCCATGGGTTTGGCTGACTTCGGCTACAGCTCGCTGGAGTGCTGAGCATGCGCGGGCATGGGCGCCTGAGTGGCGCTTGGGCGAGCCATGGCATCCAACCAGCACCAAAAGAAACAGACTTTGAACCGCACACGGGCTCATCCAACCTACAATGGCCTCCAACCTAGTGAGAAGTTCCCCTTGAGAAGCAGTTGAGAAACATGACATGTAGCCAGAGCTTGGATGAGAAACTATACATTAGACACCCAAACCCCTGTGGACATGGAATGCAGATCCTTCGAAAACAATGCCCTTTCCACGGGTGTGGTTTCTTTCCGTGTCCATTGCATGTTACTTGGTCTTTCAAAATCATAGAGTAGTGGACAAGGCTTTGATGAATTGCGCACACTGAACGTTTTGTGCAAAGCCCGAGGCGAACTATTTGCCTTCGAATTGTGGAAATGTTTTGGAGCTCTTTGCGGCAAAGAGTGTTGACCGGTCACTGTTGACTGCAGAACGTGAGCTTCGAGTAGCCCGAGACTTGCAAAAATGCACTAATTACTCGCCGTAGTCCCTAGTCACTAGTCTAATAGTGAAGGGTGTGATGCCAGAGGCTCGCTTCAATGTAGTGGATGTGCATGGATTTGCTTGGACAAATGTGCAGCATTGAAGCTGACTCAGGAGCCGCAGGTTTCTCTTCTCTCCGTGTTTTTCTGCACGAGGAGCTCTTTTACCAGGATGGCACTGCTTTTTTGGGGAGGATCAGCCGATTTCTTGCATTATTCCAACGTCACGGCATGTCTGCAATGCTGGTGCTGTTCGATGCCTGCTGGAGGCCAGACATGCCTGATGCTGGAGAACACCTGCCAGGTGTGCACAACAGTGCCTGGGTTCAATGTCCAACCCACGACGTGCTGCGGGCCTTTGCTGAGAGTCAAGACTGGGCGCATGAGCGTTTACAGCGTTATGTCACTGAAGTAGTGCGCTTTTTTGCCGACGATCCACGAGTTGTGGTGTGGGACATATACAACGAACCCACACAGCGACAGAGTGAGCACCTCATTCTTCCTCGATTGTCTGCTCTCAAAAGCTGGCCAGCCGATCAATACCCGGAGCATTGGATGTTGGACGGGCCGAAGCTGCAAGCCATAATGCTTCTACTAGAGAAGGTGCCACCTCGAACCACTAAATGCTTGAGGTCTTGGCGGCCTTGACTGTGACACCATTCTTTTGTGTTTGATGGGTTTGGGAATCAGGTAATTCTTGGTTATATATCGGTGTTATTGCATGCCACTGTTTCCTATCAATGTGTTTCGGTCCAGCTCGTTCCTAGACTGTGAAAGCCTAGGGAAACGCGAGTATTGAATCCAGGGCAAGCTTTGGTCAGGCCTTCACATGGGCACGAGCGGCAAAGCCAACACAGCCACTCACGACTGCCATTTGGGAGTTTCCCAGCCCAGCGGATAGCGAGGATGTCAAGCAGTTCAAGGACTTGACGTAGCGTCCTTGCTCCTAGTAGCGATGCCAGGAGCCCCTAGTAGCATCCTTGCTCCTGGTAGCGATGCCACAAGCCCCTAGTAGCATCCTTGCTCCTAGTAGCGATGCCAGGAGCCCCTAGTAGCTTCCTTGCTCCTAGCAGCGTACCAGGAGCCCCGAGTAGCATCCATGCTCCTAGTAGCGATGCCCTTTGCTCCTAGTAGCAAAGGAACCTACCAGCGATGTGCTCCAGGGCGTTCCCAGTGGTGTTCCCCTGGCCCTAGTTGCAGTAGAGTGATGAAGCTGCCATGAGAGGAGCAGCTGAATCAGAAGCTGATCGATCTCAGTGATGTGCCGTCATTGCATTGTGCCCTGGCACCTTCACATGGCAGTCGCAAGGTGTCACCAAGAAGATTCAGACCTTGCACTTGCATTCACATAATATTCCAGAACATATCAATCCAAGGATATTGCGCTTCCCTTCGCTGGGGGAATGCATTCCCTCATTAATAAACGCTGTGTCCCGTCACGTGGTTGTGAGGCTACTGCCCCCCCAAGCGAGCTGGACGCACGACTGGTGGAATTGGAAGCACTCGATCGAGGGCCAGCCTTGGTCACAGCACGCTTGGTTGCAAAATCAGCCCTTTTCATTACAATCTCAAGACCCTGGTGTTTTTGCTACTAGGAACATGTGCATCGCTTCTAGTAACAAGTGCCTTACTAGTAGCAACACGAAGCTACTAGGAACAATGTTTGCCTCAATCTCAAGACCCTGGTGTTTTTTGCAGTTTTGCCCGAGTTTTTGACCCCATTGTTGTTCCCAATTGCACAGCTTTAGGCTAGGCGAAAGTTTCTCAGGCGAACGAAATGAGATGCAGAGCAGGAAATGTAACTTTTCCCTCAATTGGTGGGGGAGAGTGTCGGAAGCTTGTGCTTCCTGGTGCAGAACTACCGTAAACGATGCAGGTGAGTTAATACAGATTTATAGACTAGATGCAGGTGTACATGTAGGTGTATAGACACAAGTGCAACCTGACAGATGTAAAGAGCTTCTACAAAGCTAAACATAATATATAATTACAACTTCGATATTCTTTGGTAGTTCCCTTCCGGCAGCACACTAGCCCGGCAAGTCGACCGCCTTGGGGAATGGAAAATATGCATGTGTAACCTGTGTGCGAACACGGCGTCGCTAATTCATCTAAAACATGTTCAGAACATTCCCGTCACCATCCTCATCATCATCCTATTTCAGAACGTGCACATCATCATCATCATCATCATCATCATAATCATCATCATCATCTTCATCTTCATCTTCATCTGTCTTTCTTTCATACGCTCATCAGTCGATGATTGCGTGGACCCGTTTGGTCCCACCTGGCGCCCCGAAGGGCCTATGGCCTCTACAGATGATAGTGCGGTCACAGGGCGAGCAGGGTGAAAGCCCTTCCACCTGTAGTGTCCGCAACACCAAATGCATTAAAGAAAGGCAAACCAGTCTCTAGCACGATCAGCATTGACCTCAAGGAATCAAGTGCTGAAAAGCAGCCGGCAGGCAAGCAGCCGGCAGGCACACCACCAAGGGGGTGTGCTCAGAAATGAAGCTCACTGCCAATGTTCCGCCAAGGGGCTAGCTTCGTCCCACGATGAAGAATGCCACCGGAGGTGAAAACAAAAACCAGCCCACTGCCATCCTTGAGCAAATCTTCACCAGCCTAGCTCAAACCAGCAGGCTGTCGTTCCCAGGAACCACCAGAGGCAGTGCCAAAAACTTGACCCTCCCAAAGTCGCCGACATAGGCCCACCAGGTGCCACCTGCCCGTCTCCGGTAGAGTTGGAGTGGAGCTCAAAGCACCCTGCTCCGCCAAGAGTCCGGCATTTACCAAACCATTCAGTGAGGCTTCCATAACCATCTGCCGCGCATGATGAGAAGCCCACCAGCCTGAAACACAAGGTGAAGGTGTCCACCAGGAGGTTGGTGACAGGAGGATCCACCCCAGGCAACCAATGCCAGTCCAGGCCCGGCCTCCTCAAGTGCAATCCATGGCAGGAATGTGCCTTCCTCGGTGTCCAGGCCGTCTTCCAAGACCCGCCAGGTGCCTCCGTCTTGGATGGCGGTGCAGTAGTGTCCACTGACAGCACCAGTGCCCCGGTGGTAGGAGATGCCATGGTCCTCATGGAGCCGAGCAGTCATGGTGTCCCGCTGAGCTTGGTGGGCCTCCAGTGAAGCAGCCATGTAAACAGGCGTTTCATGTTTGTGGATGGCGGCTGAGATAGGTTGGCTCTGGCCCCAGCATGATCCATGGATTTTTGCTCAATGTTGTGCTCGTAAAGAGAATGTATTCTGAAAATGAGGCTGTGTCCCGTCTGTATTGATTGAGGTCGTGGGCCACTCGGCTTCGCCTTGAAAAGGGCGGGAAGAGCCTGTAGAATGCCGGCTCCACTGCGTCTCGTGGCAGACCCAGAACCCTCGAGCCACCAGGGTGGAGCCAGATGTGTAGTAGGCCATGAAGAGTCCTGCAACACAGAACAAAGAGGCCTCTTCCAACCCTGGCCGGGGACTTGGGACCCCGGTGAGCGTGCTTGAAGGCTGCCACGTGTGTCCGCGAGCTCAATGAGCTTGATCGTTGCCAGGTGCTTGAGGAGCTGTCCGTGTAGTGGTGGTTCTTCCGGTGGAGCCTGTAGAGAATGCCAGCCACAATCACGAAGAACAGGAGGTAGAACCTGAAGAGGTAGTCATTGAGCTCCTTGGGGGTAGAGAGCTGGATCTCGGGGTCCTGGTTGATGGTGAGCAAAGGACCTGTAATCGAGACCATCGATCAGCACCGCGGTCATCTTCGGGTTGCCCATGGGCAGGAGGGTCATTTCCGCACTTCCCCCGTGGCAACGTGGGCGATGGGGGTTGAGCCGCTCATGGCCCTTATCATCATCATCATCATCATCAGCATCAGCATCAGCATCATCATAGAACCTCAGCATTCTCCAGATGCATGCGCATCGCCGGTTTGAACAAAGCTATGTTACAGGTTACAGGTTATAGCTTTGTTTGATTATATTTAATTATCAGTTACGTACATGCGACGATATACCGGTGTAGATGCAGGTGTGCAGATACCCGTACGGATGTACAGAGACAGGTGTATAGGAAAAGGTTGCACAGGTGCAAAGATACAGGTGTTTTGCAAAGAAGGCATAGACATAAGTCGAGAAATGCAGGAGTCAAGAAATGATAGAGGCAACGAACTTCTACAGAACACCAACCTAATTAGACATTCTTCAGTAATTCTCTCAGACTGAGTGGTAGCCCGGAACCATTTGAAACAACCTTGCAGAGATTTTGCGTGTCGGAAGTGCGAAAGAAGCTACTAGTAACAAGGGCATCGCTACTAGCAGTTTCTTGCTTCTAGCTTGCTAAATGCACTTGTTACACATTTCGCAAACGTGCTGCGATCTCAGGGTTGTGCGTGATGCGTAAAACATGGGACTCTCGTCGCACACTGGCTGAGGATGCAAAAGTTGATGTTGGCGATGCCGAGGTGTGAAACTTCTGTCGAACACGGACGACAGCGATGTCAAAATGAAACAGTCGTCCACAAATTAATAAACGACGTTGAAATGTCAAACATTGAAACTATCATCGGAAGTGGGTGCATGTGATGCCAAAATGTGAACCGTTCGGACACTGTTGTTGAAGCTTGTAGTACAAATGTAGAAATGGAGTGACTTCTGGCTGCTCCGAGAACTGGCGGTTCTGCAACGCAAATGTAGTATGTGAAGTGGCTTCTACCAGGTCAGAGCTGGCGGTTTCGTAGTTGATTCATTCTGGGTGCATTGGGGTTGAGTGATGCTGCTGGTAATGCACGGCAGGCATGGTGCATATCTAGCATCATTATCGCGCCATTTCCAGCTTGATAATGTGTGTCAATTGCAAAAGGATGTTGCCATCAGCCATCAGCAAAATGAACCCAACATGTTTATATTTTCTGTGTGCGTTGCGCTATTTGATTTATTTTTGACTTACTCTCTTGGCAGGAAGTGTGTCAGACGTTTTCACGTCCTGAGTCCTGAGTCCTCACTCTTTGCAAAGAAAAGTGACGTGTCCGTTTTGGAGCCTTTCCTTTGTGCGCCAAGCGTGCCGGTTTGGGAGCCTCATATAGCACGAAAAGATGGAACGCACGCTAAGATGGAATGGTGTGCCCATTTTGGGGCCAATGTTTTGTCCGCCACCCGTGCCTCATAAAACACGAAGGGATGGAACGTATGTTATCAAGGCAAGGAGCCCCTAGTAGCTTCTTGCTCCCAGTAGTAAGGCCAGGAGCCCCTAGTAGCGTCGTTGCTCCTGCAAATAAAGCACTCCATTTGGATCCTCGTTAACATGTCCTCTAATTATGTGGTGTCACGACCCCGCTATGAGATGTTGGCTTGTATGCAGTACATGCTTTACAGGCATTTTTTTTGCGGGGTTTTGTCTTGGCTTGCTAGTGAGGTAGCAAAATTAAAATTGATTTTGCTGAGAACCGTGTCTACTCTGTACTTTAAAATTTAAGATTCCTTTCCCGTCCATTTTGCAGAGCCTTTTTTTGCTTGACCTCCTCCCTTTCTATAGATTCAAAACCCATGCCAATGGTTTAGTGTTTTTCGCATGGAGACACCACTGTTGGCGTTTAGTTTGTTATTCATCAATTTCTTCCTCATCATGGAATCTTCATGGGCAGCATCATCGGGCACAAAGAAATACCTTTGTCCCCACAGACCATGTGCAATTCCTGTACTGTGCTCCAGCCTTCTTGCTTCAAGGCTACAAATTTCGCAAGATGAACTAAGTTGAACCAAGGAATTCATGGCACGCCCACTGGACTCGACGCTTACAAACAGTTTGCCTGTGCTGAAACGACGCGGCGCTCCTGGCTACACCTGGGGCCTTTTTCGAGGCAAGTCCAACACCCATGTGGCTTGGAATACTTGGCTCAGCAGTGACACTTAGCGAACTTATCCGGAACTTGCCAGGGTTCTAGATTCGAGACAGCGGGCTCTTGTGGATTCAGCAAGGGGTTTGCCCAGGATTCGCTTGATGACCCATGGTTTCACGACGTTTTTTACGAGAATGGCACGGCATATGATGAAGATGAGTTGAAGAGCATTTGGTGGCATACCATTGGCAGTGCTTTGCACAGTTAACTCAGTTGACTGGAAAAAGGATGCTGGCCGAAGGGCTTTTATCAGATTTCGACATCCAATGCCCCGCTTGCTTGAGGTGATGCCCACCGTCTCTCCAGTGCAGAACCAAAGCCCGAATCCTGTTGTCCGATTGCAGGAAGAATGCTCCTAGTAGCGATGCCAGGAGCCCCTAGTAGCGTCCTTGCTCCTAGTAGTAAGGCCTGGAGCCCCTAGTCCAATGACAGAAGTCAATTTGGGATACTTTTGGACTCCGGTTCTCACACTTGCCAAGGTCACCAGAAAGCAAGGGCTCATCGCTGTGCAAGGTGCCGGAAGTAGTGTGTTCCTATGTACCTATGTATGCGCATATGCAAACATTTTTTGATCACATAGCACGTATACCGTGTACTATCGTATACTTGTATAGTTGCTGATTTAGGAAAGAAGCCCTGAAGTTCGAATTGCTGAGACGCACTGTTTTTCACATCGCGCAGGCGAGTGTGGCCTCTTTGTCGGCATCGTTTGGGTCTGAGATGAGATTGGATCCTGCCCACCTAGCGCAACAATCCTCAGGAGACTTTCGCAAAAGCCGGAGCGAGTCAGTTATTCAAAGTCTGTGGTCTGATGCAGCCCGCAGTGTGCACAAGTTTCATGTTTGAGGCCTTGTTCACTGGCAAGCCACCGCTCTCCTGCATCTTTCTCACCAGGCTTTTGTCGTTGGATTTGAAGCAGGTTGAATGTGCGATGGTCTTGCTCAAGGTATAACATTTCTCGGATTGTTCTTCCTCGTTACCTCGTTTCGTCAAGGCCTGCCAGAAGAGCCTGAGGCCCTTGAGATTTGTGAGGACTGCAGACTCCATTCCCCAAAAGCGCAGGGTGATCAAATGTCAAGGGGTGTGCAAATTAACGAAGTCATGCATTCTGGCTCAGGGCATGCCATTCTATTCTGGCAGGAGGATGATGTGCAGATTGTCCAAGCAAAGCCTACGTCGAACGCTTTGTGGGCAGTGTGGGCTTGGTTGACTTTAAAAAAAACGCTTCTAGTTACTTCATGTTACCTCTATGCTTGTGCCTTAGATCCGGTTTTCTATTCGATGATCGTCGGAACATGGGAGATTTTTTATACGATTCCGGCATGGTAGATTGAGAGGCTCAGCTGCCTTCGCGAACCGCTGCCGCCAAAGGCGGAGACGGCGCGGGGCTGCAAAAAGGCCAACGATTTAACAGACTCAAGCAGCAACCGATCAGTTTCGGGGGCTTCGCACGTTTAATTACAAGGACCTGAGAATACGGCACAGAACAAACGGCAATCTCCGGCGCGGTCATGGCACTTTGCAGCCGTGACTCTTTCCGCCAGTGAGGGAGATATGCCCACATCAAGGATCGGCTCACAAGTGATTTTTTTCGACACGCAGCTGAACCTAATGTACAAAATTTCAAAACATCAGAACACTTTCTCTTGCGACTGTCTTCACACTTGGAGGAGGAGCCCTGTGAAAGAGAGATCGTGGACTGCAGATGATGCCTTCACAGTGATGCTTGGCCGAAGCAAGTTCCAATGTGTGCCTTGTAGGCAAGGCCCAAACCTTTTCTCTCTCTCTCTCTCTCTCTTTGAATCTTCGATTGTGTGCGTGCAGTAATTTGATCTCAGGGTGCTGCCAGAGCGAGATGGAGGCAGAAACGAATCGCAAAAAATACTATTGAGCGAATGAAAGGCAAAGATAATGTTAATGTTCTTCGTTTCTTTTGGTCGGATATCTCTAAGCTGTCTCTAAAGGAGCCTTACTAGTAGTAATAGCTTCTTGTTACTACTAGTAAGGCACCTGTTACTACTAGTAAGGCACTTGTTTCTAATAGCTTCTTGTTACAGTCAGAATGTCCAGGTCGATCCCCAAGGAGCTTGGCAAAGTCGCCCCTAGTCGCAAGGATTCAATCATCAGAGCCACCAACTCAGAGCTCCATCATGTCCGTGCAGATTTGTAAATCGGACAGGGGTAACATATTGCAGAAGACGAGAGAATTGCACAAGCAATCAAAGAGCCATCAAATCATCAAATCAAAGCTCTGGCCAAAAAGGATCTCCATGCCTGACCTAAGTAAGTTCTGAAAAGTGAGAGGCTTAGAGAAAGCTTATAGCTCCGAAAGCAAGGTCAAGAAAGCGATTAAATTCTGGATATTCCGGTGGAGCACCAACCTTCGGAATTAGATCTATGGCTCCAGTGGATTCGGACGCCACTTGATTTGCAATATTCAACGCCGGTTCGATGATTGTCTTTTCCAGTGTATCGAACCAGACGTGTTCCAATGTATATCAGGAAGCGATGCCTACGAGAGAACAGGTGGTGTCGCCTACGGCCAGGGTGCTATTGCCTCCTGCACCAGACGGGGCCCTGCCCAACATCCCAAATGACCTGCCAATCTTCTTTTCAGACGAAGCTCCCGCTGGTCAATCATCTGGTCCAGCTTCACCAAAGAGAGGGAGATGGGCAAAGTCCTCCGTGTCAAAGAAAATTGGAGCCTGGAAAGCATCTTTGAGGCCACTTTTTCCTTCCAAGCCACAGCCACAGCAGCCACAGCAGCCGCCCAAACCATCTGAAAAAGCGGAGGAATCGGAGTCTCGACGGGGGAAGCTCCACACTGGGGCTCCTCCAAGAACTCCCAGGATCGAAGAGAAGGATGGACGAGAGACACGAGAGACACGAGATACGCGGGACACGCAAATGCGTAGCCCTGCACCATCTTGGACTTCCTTCCCTTCTCCTGCGAGTTCCCTGAACTCACCCACAGCATTGGCATCAACTCCACGGAGCAAGGAAAAGAAGCCGACTACGCCCAGCAAAGGGAGCTTTGGCTTTGGTAGTGCCAAGGCTGGGCAACCTTGTCACTGGATTTTCTTAAGTCTTAAACTTTGCATGTTTGTCCCATTCAGACCGACTCGTCCATAGTGGCAGTCGTCTTAGGCTCCTGGTGGGGGTGGTATGCCTGCACGTTTTTTTTTTTCACCTCAAGCGCTTTCAATGTTTTTCTTGAAGAACCTCAACGTCAGGTTTTAGTTTTACATGTTTTTGTGAAGGTATGCCAATGCTTCTCGCAAGCCAAGCATTGTTTTGACATGTTTAACCTGACACTGAAGCAAAAGCAGGAGGACTCGCCACAACATCGCCGTATTAGCTGCCTTTGTGTCCGCGGTCAAACCCAAGGGCAAGGAAAGAAGGAGATAAAAGACATGAGGGCGTCAGAGGTCGTTGGTTCAACTTATTGACTTATTCACACTTTTTCACTTCATTCGGCGGAGGACATATTCGATGCGAAAGAGGACATCGACCAAAATGAGCGTGGCAGCATAGTTGTTCAAGTCCTCCCTTTTTATCCATCCAGATCTTGAAGCCTTCTCCAGGACTTCGAGCCTCAGGAAAGGCTGGAGCACTTCCAAAATGAGCTGAAAACGGCCATGGATCTTCAAGCCAGGGGATATGCACTGGAATCTTGGCACCATTTTTGCGCAGAGAGTTTCAGACATGTCAGTGAACTCTTTGGTGTTGTCAAGGAGCTCAAGCCGATGTCTGCCTCCGAAGAGAGAGAAATGATGGAGTTGCAGGCGCAAGTTGAAGAGAACGGCTTAACTGGAAAGGCTCCTTGTTGCAAGTGGCGCTGCTGATTCGATTTTTTTCAGAAAGCCGGCAGGCTCCAGGGTGTCGTGTGAGTTGCTTGCAGCAATGGGTGCAGCTGAGGAAGCACTGGCCTTTGTCTTGTCAGCCAAATTGGGCTCATTGGAAGATGCTTTCCAATATATGGATACCGTGAGTAGTGGCAACTCCTTTGCCTTGGTTTCATGGCACACTGGCCTCTTGGTCTTGCGAATCGACACTTGGATCAGCCCAGCAATCATGTCTCACCACCTGTTTCATGTCTCTTAAGACCTGTAATTGATAATGCTTTAGAGGCGCTCACAGAAACTTTAAGGATCCGATGAAGGTCGCAGGCTGGGATGCATGCACTTCAATGTCGTCCTTCAGAACTCTTGCAATCTTCTCGACATGTTTTTGAGGCTACTAGTTAACAAGGACGCTATTAGGTGGAGGCCATCGCAAGTTGGTTGGAGACCATCGCTACTAGTAACAAGAAGCGACTCAAAATAAGTAATTTTTTTCTGTGTTTGAGGCATGACAGTGAAACAATCCTTCGCGACCATTGCTGCGGGTGGCTCGCAGATCACACGAGCTTCTCGGCGACAAAAAAACAAGAGCCATGTCAAACTTCAGGCGATGCCTTTTTCTCCAAAAAGTCACCAACGAACTAGTATGTTTTTGAAGCTTTCTAGTAACTAGAAGCTACTAATTAGGTGGAGGCCATTACTTCTAGTAGCAAGAAGCTACTAGTAGCTAGATTGGAACACTAAACATGTTTGAAGCCCTTGTTACCAGGCCGAGCGCTGAAGTTTTCTCCGAGGCTTCCTGGGACGACTATTTCGCAGGTATGGACGATGTCTTGGCACCAGGAAAGAGACGCCGGAGGTAAGACTCGGTAAGCCATGCCATGTCAATCTTGACTACTTGTTGAGTACACGGGTGCCTGATGCTCAGGCAGGCCCTCAAGCCCAAATTACCACAGGTTCGTGAGACTCGTCTGAATGGCGTTGCATCAGGACAAGCGATAGCTCATTTGCCAAGATTTTTGGGGCTGATCCTTGATGTTAGTGTGTGTGTGTGTGGCTGTGTGGCACAAAAGCCACCAGGAGAACAGCTCCGATAGTGAAGCGGTTGCCGAATGAAGGAAATCAGCCGAAATCACGATGAACTAGAATGAAATGTATTTGAATCCGGAGGCCATCGCTATTAGGTTGGAGGCCATTGCTATTAGGAGCAAGGACGCTACTAGGGGCTCCTGGCATCGCTACTAGTAACAAGGGCATTACTACTAGTAGTAAGTTCAGAATTGTGTTGCAAGGCACCTGAGAAGCCGGTGGACAGATCGCCACCACCGCCACCACCGCCACCACCACCAGAGGAGCCGCAGCCAGAGCCAGAAAGAAAGCCTCG